TTTGACATTTGCGAAAAAAATTGTCAATATTTTAGGGCAGCTGCTATTAGTGGTTACATTGTGTACGGTGAAAATGAAAATCAGGATGGTATTTATTACCATTATTTATTATTACTATTATTTTGTATTATGATTATTTTAGAATTTTTTTAAAAAAAAATTTTTTTTTTATTATTAGAAGAATCTATAAATGGATACGGAAATATAAATAGACCTTTGACGCGTGCAATCTTTTATAGAACCGCACGAGAGGTTACATTTATATTTATATTTATATTTATATTTATATATTTTTTCTATATTATAATTTATATTTTATATTTTATATTCATTATAGAATAATTTAGATATCTATGAACGTGCATATAATGCTGTTCTATGTGGTGATGTAGAAAATGTAATAATATTAAAATATATTAAATAATTCAAAAAAAAAAAACGTGAAAATTATTAAACGAGAGAATTTATATTCACAATTAATTTTTATGAATTTTTAAATTTAGGTTCTTCCTGTATGTGTAAAATGGGAAGATTATGTATGGGCATATTATAATGGAATGATAGAATGCAAACAAGAACAGGTTTTTTTTTTTTTTTATATTTATATTTCTCTATATATATAATACATATTTTATAGCAATTATTTACCAATTATTTAATTAATTAATTTTTTTCTTTCTAATAAAGTACTTTAATCTAAAAGGTCGTAGTTCCATGGAAGTTTTAGATGAGGAATTACCAGTTCCTACAAAATTTGTTGATTTTTCTCCCGAGGATATATTTCGGGCAGTAGAAGCTCTAAAAGTTGACAAGTAATTATATTCTGTCGCTTCGTGTCGTTCTTTCCTTCCCCATTATACACATATATATGTTAAAATTACATTTATTTTTTTTTAGGTATCCTATTATGGAATTATTTCATAAAATTCAAAAACTTTATATTTTGAATCAACCTTTTACAATTATAAATGTTTTGAAAGAAGAATTGACAAATAATCAATTAAGACAAAATGAGTGAGTTAAAAATTTTCTATTCACATTTTTATAATATTTGCAATAATTTATAATAATTAATAATAATAATTTATAATAATTTATAATATTTGCAGAAATGATGTTTATTGTTATATCCTTCGCTTTGCAGCTTACTTTGTTTTATATTTACGTGAATTAAAGCTTCCAATACCTGAAAATGAGGGAATGGAAGGAGATGAAATAATTAAATTATATACTGAACTTTTGATTGAATATCAACAGGTGTTTAATTTATTATTGTAATTAAATAATTTATTGTTTAATATTTTTAATTTATTATTCTTATTATTTATAATATTATTATTTATAATATTATTGATTATTTTGAATAGAACAAAATTATCGCCTTGTATGCTTCAAAATTACCAAAAAAATTATCAATCGATACATATGCCACGTTCTTGAAAAGTATTTTATTCTTGATTTTATTTATTTATTATTTATTTATTTATTTATTTATTTATTATAAAATATTAAAAAATTTAAAAAATTTATATCCAGATATTATGGAGAGCAGGGATAAAAGACGTATATTATATATTTTGGCTGAAAATCATGGACTAGATGTTAAATCAATTACGAGAGCAACATTTGATTTAATATTTAATGAACCTGATGTTGAGGTTTTTTTTTTTTTAATAGATAAATATAATAATATTTGAAATTATTAAAAATTATTACTATAAAATTTAAATAATTTTCTTTTCTTTTTTTATTATTAATTATTATTTTAAAGGATCAACATGGTCTCGTTACTTCCTTACGTCGTAAACCCATTCCTTCATCTTCATCTTTTTTATCATCATCATCGTCATCTTTACCATCTTTACCATCTTCACCTTCACCATCTTCATCATCAATTAATTTAGTTAATGATCTTGATCCACCCCTACGTGAAACAACTAGTCCCGTCTCAAATCAAGATTCAATTAAAATTCGAGGATTAGAATGGCTCACATTTAATAATGAACAAGTTATTGAAGCATTTGATCGAGCCAATGCTTTATGTAGAAGATTTTTGGTCAAAGGAAAATTGAATGCGGTCAAACATGTTTTTTACGCAATTTCCAATCACGAGTCACCATTATCATCTTTTAAGATAGATGAGGATGATGATAAACAAGGATATGAATATTCGGTCATTAATGAATATACATTTTATTATAATATGACGGAATTCTTTAGTAAGAATGAGGAATGGGCGAAAATTTCACGTGAGAAACTTCACAAGTGAGTATTAAATTTACAGTTAAACCTACTTTCAATTTTTCAATTTTATAATATTTTTTTTTATTTATTTTTTATTTATAATAATATTTTCTATTTTAATATATGATATATTATCTATTTTTTTTATAGAAAAGAGACTGAATTTGATACACGTATAAGAGTATGACATTTTTTTTTTTTTGATTTAATTTAAATAACTTTAATAATATAGATAGATTTATATATATATATATTCATTTATTTATTTATTTATTCATAATTTAAATTTTCTAAATTTTCAAAAGGAAGCTACTGAAGCTGTAGAAAAGCTTTTCGAAAAATTTACCAATGCATTAATATCCGATAATGATGATAAAGAGGGAATCATTGGTAGATATAATATTGAAGGTAAGATTTTATTATTATTATCATCATTATCGTTATTATTGTATCTTATATATTTATATATATTTATATATAATTGTTATTATCATTTTTCATATTTTTTAAGATGAAGAACGAAAAAAAGAATTAAACTTAATTAAAGATATTTACGTTCCAAATATTGTCCTTCGCCTGCATCATATTTATGAAAAAACCAGAGATGGCAACCAAGAGTATGTAATTTTATTATATTATTATTATTGTTGTTGTTGTTGTTGTTGTTGTTATAAATATATTGTAAATAATTTTTTATTTATTTATTTATTTATTTTATTTACTAGATATCTCAATAAAAGTTTTCGTTTAGCGAATTTAATTGCGGATGGTGATCAAGCATTATATGTACATTTTCTACGTTCCAAGAAATTACCTATATTAATTGAATGTATAAAAAATTCTTATTTGGAAATAATAAGAACAAATCCCAGAGATATCTTTCTTTATTAAAGAATAATTAATTAAATAAATAAATAAAATAAAATAAAAATATATAATTATATTTTTTTTGATTATATTTTTTTTAATAAAATTATATTTTTATTTAAATTATATTTTTTTATATATTTATTACTCTCAATTGATATTATTCAATCAATTAATTAAACATTTATTTAATCAATTTGATAAAAAAAAAATCATAATCATCACCCTCGTTGTTATTAGTAACATGTTATCATTATTATAATGTACTGTTATTCTGTATTCTATTTAATCATCATCATTATAATCATTATAATCATTATAATTATTATAATTATTATAATTGAGAAGCCATTTGTTGACAAGCCTTAAGACTGTCCAGATACCATTGACACACATTAATATCATTATTATTTTGTTCTAAACATTTTACTAAATCTCTGGCATTAGTTTGACACCCATTATTACCAAAATCATCTGGTTGGAATGGTAAATCATTATTATCATTATATAAAGATCGAGGAGGAATTCCTTCTTGTGCTGGTAATGGTGCGTCACTATCTGTAGAACCTTCCCCATTAGAACCTGAAAAGACAGACGCGACACCGCGACTCTTAAAAAAAAAATAATAATA